GGAGGAGGAGGAGGAGGAGGAGGAGGAGGAGGAGGAGGAGGAGGAGGAGGAGGAGGAGAGAGGCAACGGCAGCGGCGCGTGGGCACCAGGCCACTGGGCGTGGCGGCGAACTGAAGGCCGGCGGTCGGCTGCGACGACCGCGGCGCAGAGACGGAGCGTTGTGCGACCCTCCAGGGTCGCCCTGCAAAGAGACAGAAGACTGCCAACAAAGACATCTGGTATAGACGTACGGAGGAGGGAGAGGAGGACGTCTGGAGGAGGAGAAGGAGGAGGAGGCGAAAGGACAAAGGATGAGGGAGGAGAGAGGAGGGAAGAGGAGGAGGAGGCCATGTGGAAACCGCTACATGCGAGTGGGTGCCTAAACCCAATGATCTGTTCCCAAACGCGGTTATCTGAGCTTACGGGCGCCTAAGCCCGCGGGTGGCCTCGCGGGGTCGGCGGGCTAAATACGTCCATCAGCAGCCGGTGGCCACCACTTATCGCCCAACCGTTGACGCTGGGGCGGCAAAATGGGGTTGCCCTCTTACGGACTTCCCGTGAGAGGCCCCAGAACAAGTCCCTGCGCGGGCGCCCGCCTGTTGGCGAGAAACGAGAAACTAGAAACGAGGGAGGAGGAAGGAGGAAGGAGGAGGAGGAGGGCCAATGTAAACCTAAGACGCATCAACGATGTTGCAACAAACCCTCCCTTCAAGTTCCCTCTTCGCAGATCCCTACAACAATTTAAGTGCCCAATTGGAGGACAACCTTATGAGAATCTTAAACCGTGCCAAAACATCATTCCTGGAACTTCACCGCAGCAAGTCAACGTGACTCTTGCGTCCTGACAGACCGAATCGCGCAAGAACGCCATGCCTGGGACTTTAGCACTGCGAACCAACGTGACTGGTGCGCCCTGGCGACCTTAAGCCGTACCACAACACAAATCCTGAAATTCAACGATACAGATCCTTGAAACTCTTGCAAACTTCCAAGACGATTGTGCACGGCGCTGAGGCGAGCGCACACTTTTAAAACGAATGTGCGCGGCGCTAAAGCGAGAACCACATGTTGAAAACGGTCCGCACTCAATCCGTGAAGCTGCTGCCAGCCTTTAAAAACGAGTGTGCGCGGCGCAAAGGCGAGAGCCCCATTTTGACAACTACACGCCCTCCATTCATGAAACTACTGCAAAGTTTGAAGACGAGTTTGCGCGACGCTAAAGCGAGAGCCACATTTTGAAACGACCCGCCCTCCATCCTTGAAACTGCTGCAAACGCTTCAACAGATGCGCGGCACTAAGGCGGGAGCCACCTTTTGAAAAGGGCCCGGCCTCCATCCTTGAAACTGTTGTAAGTTTCAAGCTTCAGGATCATGAATGGTGAGTACGTCTCAAGTAGAATGCCCAGCCCGCCCTAGCGACACGCCTGCTAAGGAACAGGGATAGAGGGGAAGGACAGGACAAACCCAGATGTGAGAGCGAGCCGAGATCGGTGACGGGACGGATGAGCGCAGTCGCAAAAGAAAGGAGGGGGAGGAGGAGGATGGGGAGGGAGGAGG